GAGATCCATTCCTTGTGATGATGCTTATGAAGCCCAGAACCTCTTGACACGTTGAAGTTAATGCTTCTTTGATACCTTTCCAGTTATCCTCCATAGTAATTTCTTCTTCCTTCAGTAGATAATGTAGGGCTTGGAACCTGTTGTTGAGAGCTATTATTGAGTTTGTCAGTATCTCGAAGGAAGGCTGTATTGAACCTTTGTAGTTCTGTTTGTCCAGTTGTCCAGTTCTTCTTTAGCTTCAGTTTTAAATTAGCCACAACCAGGTGGTGATCTGAAGCTATGCCCGCTCCTCTCCTGGTTCTCACATCTTCCATTGTCCTTCGGAACTTTTTATTGATGCAGATATGATCTATCTGGTTCTCTGTGGTGTGGTCCGGTGAGATCCATGTAGCTTTGTGTATACGTTTGTGTGGAAATGTGTCGCCTATGACCAATTTTTTGAATGCACACATATTAACAAATCTTTCCCCGTTTCCTTTCCTCTCTCCCAATCCATGTAGTTCCATGATATCTTCATATCCGGTGTTGTCTATTCCGACTTTGACGTTTAGATCTCCCATCAGAATGGTGAGGTTCTTTCTTGGGCACTTCTCTATGATTGATTGCAGCCTCTCATAGAATTGATCTTTAGTGTCGTCGTTGCTATCGTTGGTGGGTGCATAACATTGGATAATGTTCATTGTGATCCCCTCCTTCTTTGTTTTGAAAGATGCTTTGATGATTCTGGATCCGTGAGATTCCCATCCTACAAGTGCATTTTGTGCTACTTTGGACAGCATTAGAGCAACTCCCTGAGTGTATGGAGCATCTTCCTCTTCGTGACCGGAGTATAGCAGCATCTCTCCCGTATTTAGCCTTTGTTGTCCAGCTTGGGTTCAATGGGTTTCGCTGATTCTGAGTACTGCCAAGTTGTATCTCCTCAATTCCGTTGCTATTTGACAGGTCTTTCCGGTCTCCCACATTGTCCGGACGTTCCATGTACCTATAAAAATTGTTGCTCTGGTTGTTATAAGGGGCATCGGCCTCATGGCTTCCGAAGGAACTCGGCTTTCACCCTGAGGCGTCATATTTCTTCTAAATGAAGACCTTCTAACTCTCAGGTCAGAGTTTAAATGGTTTGAGTGAATTTTTCGGATAGCGTTTTTTAACGAGTTGGTTTTCTACGGGATGTGGTCGCTAACCCCATGTCCAACCCCTCCTCCTTTACCCGGGCTTGGGACCGGCAGTAACTCTAGGAGAGCTACAGGCGGAGTTCATAAGTTTTAACGCTCCATATATAATTTGGCTTGAACAGCTGTTTCATATCACTATGTTATAAAAATAGTATGACCTAAGTAATTAATTCTCGACCATTTGGTTATTCTATTACTAATTTGCCCCATATTTATTTTCATTTTTTCATTTCCTCATCTTTTTGTATTGTTTAATAAACGTGATAGCTCAGAACGTTATATTGTTATAATGTATTATACGGTTGTCTACCACGATGGTATGAAATGCCATCTCATTTCACTAGTTATTAAGTACCTACTATAATTTTTTCTCCAACTTGGTAGTCGATTTCAGTTTCGTGTATTAAGCCATTATATTAGACTATATATTTTTATTTGTGAACTGGTGGTGCTACTTGGATGTCTACACTGGTATGAGTTTAGCAGGGTTCGAACCAGTAACCTAGTTGAAATCCAACTGATTTAATTACTTTATAATTGCTGCTTTGAATATAGTCCATTATACGTTCACTAGAAGACCTGAAGGACCCAGGTTCGAATCGTGTTGGTGTCATTGATGTTCACTTCCGAGGAGTTTCATGCTACAACAAAACAACTACCCAGTACTCTCTGGTTATGTTTTAATATAAAGGGAATACTTTAAACCTGTTTTCTTTATCGATTGAAATCAACCGGTAAACTTCCAGTATCTTAATCACGGTTAAAACCCTTCAACAATGCGAAATTTTGATTCTGTCTGGATCATTAAACATGTGATCATACATATAATAATAACTTTATAACTTAACCAATGGTCACTCAGTCAGTCAGCTATAACGTAGGACCAGGCACATATATACATCGGTCCAAGTTCCCATACCTCATTAACACAACAAGATGAACACCGGATTCATAGTAGTTAAGTTAATGGTGGCAATATATAAAAGAAAGATCGCATGTAAGGAGAGAGAGTGTATACACCGACGCCATTGTGATCGATTCTGAGCCATGTCACTCAGAGTCTCCAACCATTGGATACGATAGTCATACGCACCCCAATAAAATAATTTGCAGCTACCTACATGGCTGAGACTAGAATTTAGTGAGTTCAAGCACTGATGCCACGTTTTGGTTTGGCCATCCCTAACTTCCTTCCAACTATTCCCAACACTAATCAACATTGCGAGTCGTAGTAATCGGTGTTCAGGCATACGCAATACGTGGCTCAACTATCTCAATCGATCTTAACTCAATTTGAGATTATTAATGTAGTTACTATCCTCAAGTCTGTTATCTACGAATACTCATCTTTGCTGATGTATAAAGTATTTTTTTTGACAAGTTGATAATTTTTTCTAAAACTTACGTATGAGAAAAGAGGAAAGATTGTTTAAAATGCATCCAACTATGTAGTTCTTTAATTGTCGTTAGTCTTCTACAAATGATATTGCTTTGCAATAGAAACTAATTTCCAATTAACACATTCTCATCTAGATAATTATGTATATAATAGGGATACGTGTATAGAAAATCTTTCTAACTAAGTAAAAATTCCAATTAAGTGTACACATTTTCATGTTTCTACATAATCTTATATAATTTTACTTCTTAAAAAAAATATAATAAGATATAATCATTATTATCATAGTATCATGTAATGGGAGTAATTATTTTAGAATGTTCATGTGGTTAACTCGTGTGATAAATAATGATATTTGAAAAAGAATTACTATTGATCTATTATCAGCTGATTACATTGAATATCCATTAGAAGTAATATAATAATTTCTATTTATTATGGTCTGTACATTATTATATACTATTTTATGCTAATAATGACATTTTCTTTTAAATGTGGAAAGTTTTTCGTTTTATGTATATTGTTGATTATTTTTTAATGAAACAGTAGTTTAGGAGGTTAAAATCATTTGACATTTTATTGACAGATTCAAATCTTGCTATATTTCATTTTAGGCATAAATAGTTTCTACAAATGTACTGATGAGAAAGAAAGATTTACTTGGCAAATTAGCTATATTATTCACTGTTGGTTATTTGTCAGCTGTATATGTCACTATATATGTTAGTGAATGTTACAGCTTAGTAGTTTACTAGTTAGGACTCTAGAATATTGTGCCATTGACTACCTGGTTGAGGTTCGCGTGACTATCGTAACCAATGGTTGGAGACTCTTGGTGACATGGCTCAGAATCGATCACAATGGCGTCGGTGTATACACTCTCTATCTTCCTTTAAACTAAGAGATTAAAATCGCTTCATATCTTTCCTTCTAGGAACTAATTCTTTCTTCCTGTACTATCTCCTTATACACAATCTTTCTTCTATATATTACCACCACTGAATTAACTACTTCTATGAATCCGGTGTTCATCTTGTTGTGCTAATGCGGTATGGCAACTTGGACCGATGCATATACGTGCCTGGTCCTACGTTGCAGCTGACTGACATATATATATATATATATATATATATATATATATATATATATATATATATATATATATATTTCATTAGACAGTCGCGTGTGTGCTTGCCAGATAAACAGAACTTTTAGAAACTTGAACGGATTAAGATGCACACCGTTGACATTCGTCGCAGTATACTCTCTCAATCTTTCCACTTTGACAGAAGTAAAAAATGAAGTTTATATGAAGATTTAAAACCGTTTTAAAAAATTTAAATCCTCAGACAGTAATCGTAGGAGATTATTATAATGGTCAATTGGTTAGAGTAAATGAAACTACAAAATAATTAGATATGCCTTTCAGTGTCTCGGATCACCGAACGGATAAAAAGAAGGGCATGTTGAAACTATTCTCAGGTAGTAGTTTGTTTCTAACAAAATCATTTTCAAGAATAAAGAGAAACATTTAACATGATTAACCATAGAATCGACACGAATAAACCATATTTACATCAATTGTCGTTAGGGGGGCTCGATAGGAGAACCCCGCTGGTTCTGGAGCCCATATATAGACGCTGACCGTGTTGTGGTGTGGGTATGCGTCTTATCAAAAGACTAGTGTTCAGCTTGATTATGTGAAGATCAAGAGTGCATTTCAATAACAAATAGAGGGACGTTTGGTCTAGAATAATGTTAAGCTTGGTAAAATATCAAAACAGCTATGAAAACTGCAGTGATATGATTTTAAGCAGATATCGGTGACAAAAATAAAAGAAATGGGACAGGCTAAGTGGATAGATAATAGTTGGTAACTGATCAGATATATCAGGGACACAGATATTATAGTGTCAGTTGTTAGTGCAACGATTTCAGTAGAAGCATATACTTTGGTCTACTGTCAGGCTGGATAATTGGGACAGTGGGTGAAACTTTCCAAAAAAAAGTTCAGCTGAACTTCAGCTACTATATGGTTAATCACTATTTCCAAACAATCTGAATGAGAGATTGAGGTGAGTCTATCGACTCAAGGAATTCGGAAAGGCCATAGATAGTCTGAAGTAAGGGAATGGGTTTGGAATAGGTAGATTAACTTCAAAGATTCCGGTTTAAATTGTTAGACTGACTGCGACACTAGCTAGGATTTTGAAAATAAATATAATTCTATCTGACCGGTCGTCTGAGTCTATAATCAAAGACTGAAATCCTCATACAATAACCACAGATGATCCAGTCTGACTAATGTACCATTTAAAAAATTAATAGTGACTATGTTTTTTTTTCCGAAAAATTAGAATTACTGATTTTTTTGATATTTTTCATTCTTTTCCCTCCATAAAATAAAAAATATGTGCATATATATATAGACTGTTGCTTTGAAGAATACAAATATTACAGAATTAGAGTCAGAGGGATGTACGTGTGATCGAGCTGATAATCCTTATCGTAATCAACTGTGGACAAATACATATGGGAATGGTGAAAGATTAGATTACATATTTTATCGTTCTGGGCCATCAATAATAGATTCATTTCATATACCATGTAAGATAATGATGGTGATGATATTGTTGTTATTGGATTGATTAATCCTTTTTTGGTTTTATATCCCTTTAAATAATGTTTATTAATTGGTCACTTGGTTCCATCATCATCATCATCGTTTTTTTCGGATGAAACAAACCGTCTCATCGACCTTATCACTCTGCATTATTCGCCAATACTAATAAGTATAAAAAGTAGGTAGTTGTTCACTGTATGAAACGAAACAGTTTTTTGCTATCAGTATTAAAATGGCCCGTAAGAACACCCTTAGTTGAGATTCTCGAGATTAGGTCGTTCATTAGTATCTAGGTATAAAAAGAAAATGTCAATTTCGTTTTTGTTTTACACTACATTCTTCATAAAAGTAGGATGAACTTTTCTAACCGAGAAAAGTCTATCTTAAAATGTAAGGTGGTCGATTAGAAAACTTGGAACAAAGTTCCATGCTATTTGGCACTTGCTAGGAAGGCGTACTTATGATCCTAAAGCTCATCATAGTGCATGCAATATCGAGCTACTCAGACTAGTAACCATATTGTAACTTGATCGACAGCATTCATAACCAAAATGTCACTGTGTATGAACACTTGTGATTGCACAATAGCTTCAGAGTATAGTATGTCTTTTTTGCTACAATAAATCAATATATTTTGAGAGATCTAGTTGTATGATGTTTCTTTTTTTTAAAATTTGACAAAAAATGAAAGATCAACTAGCCGGCAATCTACATACTTACTCATTTACACCTTCACCAGCTTTTTTGTCATCTTAATATCTCCACAATACTAAGTTCCTTACGGATCGGTTTCGGTATTTACAACTGCTCTCTTGTTTACCAGAACAACTGAAAACATCTTAGATATATATATACAGAGGGGTTTCGAATTTTCGTATGGCTAAGTCTTCAACAAACCATAGTATACGCCCTTTCACACCTTTGTACAACACCACAAAAGCTGATTTAAGATCAAACTTATGACCAAATATATGTATGATCAGATTGCTTGAAATGTGTTGCGCTCATATATTACATAGTTCTGATAATCTTCGTTTTCTTATTACACTATCGAATTTTATCAAAGGGACTAATTGCTTTAAATACATGAAAACACTTCCACTATTTTTTTTAAAAAAAAATCATCATGTTGGACTAATGAACATCACGTGATTTGATATTAATGATAACGATAATAATGAACTGGAAACCAACGATATTTTCTGAGAAGCCAGTGTAAAATTGTACAAAAGTAAGCATATAAACATTTATTGTAAAACAAATAACTGTAAAAACTTTCAAAAGCTTCTAGAATGTTCAGTAACGTCGACTTTTCGATTACTGACCAGTCAGTATATTCGGAATCGCCAAACAATAAGTATTCAATTGTTAGAAAAATATTATCCTAACATCAATAGTTCACCCTAAATTAAATAAGTCTGTGATGTAACATCATACTTACATTATATACTTAATTCAATCAGTTATAATCAACATTAGGCTTGACGCAAATGTACATTAACATAAATTCTAATACTAAATTAATATATTGAAATAAAATTAACAAACTGAATAGAAGAGCAGTTCGAATAGTAGTAATGTTAATGACTAAAATTTGATAATATACTTCAAAAAAATAAAGAAATGAGACGATACGTATAACGTAATATTGAAACTCAAGATCTAGAAGACGATTAGAAGTAACCGATTCTAGGTCATGTTTAATTACTGACCATAGTCATTTTCTTGGACATGAAGTCAGATAGTTTGCAGTTACTAACATGGATAAGTCCAATAGTTAATAACTTCTTACACTGATATCATAACAGTAATTACGTCCATGTTAAATCTAACAGACTGAAATTCTCAGTATAAGATTGTAGAGATTGTTGAGTTTTTAATTTAGATCATGAAGTGATCAATGGTTAGATCATCATGTCTGCTGTTGTGAGGCAGTTACTCACTGAAAATAATGATGGACGGTCGCACAATATCATGGATTAGTTGAAGTTAGACATTAACACCGTTGGATGCTGGCTCAGTGGTCTAGAAGTTAAACATTCGTGCGCGAAATCGACGGTACTGGGTTTAAGTGCAGCGTGATTGATCGTAAATGAACACTACTGAGGTGTCCCAGAGCAGATCTGACATTCATCAGTTCATGATCTCAATTACATTACAATTTCTTTTTGTTTATATACACACCTAAAAACTACTTACGTAGAAAGCATTTAAATGAGATTTATAAAATGTAATCATACTCATATATATAATGTGAAAAATTAATTGACAGATTTATTTAGAACCATACAAAATCAGCATAACATATTTTTGTTCCAAAAAAGAAAAAAGAATTCATAATAATTATCTTCATTTGGATAAAAAATAAAGTGTTGTATTTGATTTTGGTTATTTTACGCTACATGTCAAATTATGTTCTAAGTATATAATCTATTTTTCTACGCAAATACTATTTTTAAAGATATCCGAAAATAGTAATTACGCATGTAGTAGGTTAATTGTAATTTGTTCTCTTTTTTCTGTTGCTTACTTATTCTATTTAAATGTACTCCAACATCAGTGGCAAGTACGCACATACCCACATAAATATTCACAGCTCTGGTGAATCATACCTGTATGGTTATAATGAAGAGAGAAGTAAAAAAGAACCCCATCGTTTGTAAATATCTATTAGTGAACATCCCGGTTTTTTCCTCCTCGATCTAGCTACCATTCCACCGAAAGGTATAGATGAGCATTGGTTGCAATTGCATGATGCCATGAAAATGGCGGGTAAAGTCTGTTGTGGGTTCGCGAAACGTCCCGCTTACAAGCACTGGGTTTCTTCTGGTTCCTTACAACTGATTGAAGCCCGTCGGTCTACTCCGGGTGACCGTGAGTTTGACCACAAACGAAGGATGTTACGTAATGAAATTGGTCAAAGCTTGCGTAAGGACCGAGAAACCTGGTGGTCGGAGCGTGCTAGTGAGCTGGAAGCAGCAGCTGCATCTGGTAATTACCGGAAGCTCTTCCAACTCATCCGAGCCACTGGCAGCAAGAAGTTTGGTGTGAGCGAAACAATCTGCGAGGATGACGGAACGCCAATCACTAACATCCATCGACGTCTTGGACGATGGGCAGAATTTTTCGAAGGGCAGTTCAACTGACCTGCTGCTCCGGCAACATCAGTCAGACTGTCCTGCCCTCCATGGCCGGTGACGACTGATCCACCAAATGAGGCGGAAGTCCGCAAGGAACTCCAACTCTTGAAACGTTACAAATCACCGGGCCCAGACGACTTGCCTCCGGCTCTTTTTAAAGATGGTGGTGACTTTCTGACTAAGGGACTAACGACGTTGTTTACAAAGGTCTGGGAACTAGAGTGTGTACCAACGTCATGGAATGAGTCGATAGTTGTCCCTATCTTTAAAAAGGGTTCACGTTGTTCCTGTAACAACTATCGGGGGATAAGTCTACTTCCGATTGCGTCCAAGCTATTGGCTTCCGTCATACTTCGTAGGTTGTTCAGAACCCGAGAAAGATTGACTCGCGAGGAGCAGGCTGGGTTTCGTTCTGGTCGAGGATGTATTGATCATATTTTCACCCTCCGCCAAGTGTTAGAACACCGCCATACTTATCAAAGGCCAACAATCGTAGTGTTTCTTGATATCAGGGCTGCCTTCGATTCGTTGGACAGAACTGTTCTCTGGGATTGTCTATTGAAGAAGGGTGTGTCTGAGAAGTTTATTAACATCCTAAAAGCCCTATACACAAACACCTCAGGCAGAGTGAGGGCATACAACCACCTTTCTCCATTATTCCATTCAAGCAGTGGAGTTAGGCAGGGTTGCCCAATCTCACCATTCCTCTTCAACTTCGCCATCGATGACATTCTGGAAACAGCTCTGATGGATGTAAGTAATAGTGGTGTGGATCTGTTGCCTGGAGAAAGACTTCTCGACCTTGAGTATGCGGATGATATTGTCTTACTGTGCGAGAATGCCCAAGCTATGCAATCCGCACTTAATCAGTTGGCAATCAATGTCCGTAGGTATGGTATGTGCTTCTCACCTTCGAAGTGCAAAGTACTTCTACAAGACTGGCAGGATTCTAATCCTGTACTCACTCTGGATGGTGAGCAGATAGAAGTAGTCAAGAAGTTCGTGTATCTAGGTAGCTGCATAAGTGCTGGTGGTGGCGTGAGTGATGAGATCAATGTACGTATAGTGAAAGCCAGAGCGGCTTATGCCAATCTGGGCCATCTTTGGCGCCTTCGTGATATTAGTCTGGCTGTAAAAGGTCGGATCTACAACGCAACGGTGAGAGCAGTTTTGCTCTATGCTTGTGAATCCTGGCCTTTCCGAGTTGGGGATGTTGGACGACTCTCTGTGTTTGATCATCGTTGTCTCCGAAGGATTGCTGACATCTAGTGGCAACACCATGTTGGTAATGCAGAGTTTCGGCATCGTGTGTTCGGGCACAGAGACGATAATGAAATTGGTGTCACCATCTTGAAACACCGACTTCGGTGGCTTGGACATGTTCTACGAATGTCGTCACAGAGAATTCCACTTCGTGCATTATTTGCCGACGCTGGGACTGGTTGGAAAAAGTGGAGAGGTGTTCAGTGTATGCCATGGTGTCGTGGTATGAAAGAAAGCTGCAAAGGGCTGGCTTGTGTTGGTCCTTCACGACTCCCTGGCTGGGGTCCGGGAGACGGTGTAACAGTGGCTAGAGACGTCATCAGATATGGCTCAGAATAGAAGCCAGTGGCGATCCTGCTGTAACCTTCTTTTACTTTCTTCATAGAAAGTGGTTGCTCCTTCCTTAACTGTAAGATTTCTTCTGAGTGTACCTTTTCGTCTTTGCCATTATTGTTCTCTTTTTTTATAGTTCTCTACGTTCCTTACTTTTTTTCCCTTCTCCTTAAATTCTCATTGTCTTGTATGGCGCATATATATTTTGTGCCCTCTTGTACCAATATTTATTTGTTCAAATAAATAAATAAATAATATATATATATATATATATATATATATATATATACTCACAATTTATTCCTTAAATTTTCCAACACTTCGGTTGATGTTAGTTCAAGAATGAAAATATTGCAACATAATTGATCATTTTTGTTAATATTTTAGTTGTAAAACAATTCTATATCTAATAGACAACTTTTAATTATCTTTTCGTGAATTATACATTTTAAAAAGGTTGCTTTTTTGCTTGGTTTCTAAGCAAAAATTATTTTAGTATCAGAAAGGGTTTTGTTGATATTATAGTAATTTTAATAGTTGAGTTCATGAGTCAATTGAAGCTAAACCACTACGGAACACATGGAAGTACTGGACGTCCGTTTCGTTGTATTGTCGGACTTCTTAACATTGTGCATCCTCTATCCCCCCTCGCAAGATTCGAACACAGGACCTATCGGTCTCGCGCGCGAACGCTTAACCTCTAGAGTTAGTAATTGTCTAGAATTAGAAGTTTATAAGACGGGTCACGTAATAATTAACCGGGGTTTGAAGAGTTCACGTAAGTTTGGAGAATTAAGTGAGTGAAAATACCGATGGTTAAAGTGATGATAAGAATACTCGTTCGAGATCGATAGATCCTGAGTCCGAATCTTGCGAGGCGGGATCATGGATGCACATTGCTGTGAAGTCACACAATAGGAAGAAATGGCCGTTCATTGTTTCCAGGTTTTCCATGATGGTTTAGTTTCAATTGACTCATGATGTCAACTATTAAAAATATTTAACTTGAATAGTTCTAAGTTTCATAGACGATACTAATTTTGTTGATGGATTATTCATTCTTAAAAATTTTTTAGAGAATAATCAGTAATGCTGATATCACTACTATCTCTTCTCCTATTATATAGTCCGAAGAATGTCAATTGAACAAACAGACAAGAATAATAAGATTTGCTTAATTCTTTTATGAAATACCTAATTCTGTAAACACAAATCAGCTCAAAATAAATTTAGAAGATAAAATACATTTTTTTAAAACTTAGTAACTATGAGATTAAAAATCAGTTAAGCATTAACAAAAATATTCATAATGAATAAGCTCAAAATAAAGGATTACGGTAAAACTGAAACTATGTAACGTTTTTTAAGCTATCACTGATAAATTCTACCTTCATGTTCTAATTGACCACTCAATATATCAGGTTTTTTCAATTTACGACGTTACTTAGTGATATATATATATATATATATATATATATATATATATATATATATATGTGCCATCAAATGCCCTGGTACGGCCGAGAATGGGGAGGGCCCTACCTCCCTCTCGAAATACTATCACGCGGCCACGCGTATGCAGCCTCTGTCAGCGATGTCCTACTCACCGCCTTCTCGCACCACGTGTGTCTTTTACAACATTCAGAGGACGAAAAGCGAATGTCCAGCGCTCTAACCGGGTTCGTTGACATGGATAATCCACCTAGGGGAGTTTGGAAAGCCTGATTTCAAACCAATACTGCACATGGGGCTCCAGTATCCTGAAAAAACAATTGATGTATGGACCAACTGTTGGTCACCGGTTACCATGAGACTGCATCTCCTTGAGTTGCTCCACTGCCTAATGGGTCAAACTTTTAGGTCAAAGGCTCCGGGTATGTCTCTTTAAGAAAACTACCTGCTTTGGTTTGAGCACCCGGGCAGTATCACAGCCCACACACAAATAGAATGAAAAAGTGATATATTTATACATATATAATCTATCTAAATAATATGGATTAATAAAAAAATGAATTTGATTATTTAAATAATTTCACTTTATGAAATAAACAACTTCGTGGAGGAAAAAAAGAAATCGAACCAAAAAAATACAGTAAGAACTGAAAGTTTATTTATCAGAAGGGAAAAAATAACACATTTCGCATTCTTATTTACATCTAATTACTGAGATGCTTAAAGTTTAATGTTATAGAGGCTAATTCCCCCTATATCTGACTCCAATAAATAGTATCCCGTTAACTGAGTATTTAATGTAGGCTAAATCTCTTAGTAGAATTATGGATTTACTCGAGATTATTCAAAAGCCTGCACATCAGTTATAAAGATATTTTATTGTCAAAGATTGGTAAAATCCGCAAGCGTACTGGAAGCATGTACACAGGGAAACCAAGTGTGTGTGAATGTTAAAAATCGATATATATTTTTGAGTGTTAATCGATTGTGGATAAATTATTGATTGTCTGTGTGTTACAATCAATGGGAGAATAGATTCAAGATTGACATGTGCTCAATCAAACTCACACAGAAAGCTACATGTTGGATCAAGTGTCTAAATTACAGTGAGCAGATAAATAATACAGTAGTTGAATGGGCTTACTACAATGTTTTAAACCATGTTAATCTGTATGTGTTTTTAGAATTTTCACACTTTTATTATTCATTTAATGTCAGTGACATTTGGATAACTCATATTATAATAATACTTTAAAATATTTAGTCAATTAGTATTACAAAAGGGAACATACATTTTGAAAATTCTGTTTTTGTTTGTGTAACTCAGTGATCATGTATTAAACTGTGAAAGTGAATGACACTGATTTGAATCTAACAAAATGCATTATTTGCCTCAAGATTGGAGATACACCTTTACGGCGAGTCTCAACCAGCATAATATCTATGCTCGCGGTTTACTGTTAACTACCTCTGATCCTATAATATGAAATAAGTTTAATGTTTTGAATTGCTTTGTATCATATCAATAACTTTATAATAAAAAGTATGTTTTTATTGTATGTACGAATATTTGTTTATATTAGAACAGATAGTATTGTATATGTTTATACATTGCTTGAACAATTATATATCATAATAATAAAATATTTACTTCTAATCATCATTAATAAAAAAGTTAGAATATTTTATGAATTGTCTTTCTACTTTCTGTTTTACAATAGCCTATGCTAAACTTGTCTGTGATTCGTGTTGGTTAGATATGCGTAAAGTACCTGACGACCCATATGGTTTACATTATTCCGATCATGAAGGTGTAGCTGCAAGTTTTACTATTACAAGATTACGCAGTCCCGTCAAACCAGGTATAAGTTTCTACTTGATTATCTGTATTTGTTCTTATCTTATAGTTATGTGATTAGAATTACAATCATCATGACTGTCCGTAGATTGTATTCGTAAATTCATTTTGTGAATTGAATCAATTTACACAATATCTCATCAACTAAACTATAGTATTCAACCCACTAAGATCATGATGTACATGGAGTTTTAGTGTGTTGTGACTGTTGGAGTCGGAAGTTAATCAGTTGTCACTAATGGCGTTGGATGATTGTTTCGTCTTATCTCAATGTGATTGAAGTTGGTATTGTGCCATAGGACGTCGAGCTAGCGGTTAGTCGAATATTCACCACTAGATTTGAAGATCATGGGTTTGATCTCTGATGGTGTCGTGTACATGCACTACTGAATTCTATACTAAGATGAAATAGTTTTCCAGTGCTTCATGGTTTTCAGTAGTTTTTTAATTGAGATCAACCCGTGACAAATGTAGCTTGCAAACTGAAGCGATCTCCACAAAACCTCTTTAAATGACAATAGTCATCTAAGCTAATTAAAATTCAAAACATTCTTCTAGTGCTTGCCATCCATTTTGTACAAAATTTAAGTTATTCATAATAATGTTCAGTTTGACTTTATGATTTATATAGCAGGCAGTAGCTTTGGCCGATGCTGATTGCTCAATAAAATTTAATTAGGTACGAGTTAGATTTTCTGATGTATGTAATGTAGATGCTGTTAAAAAGAGTATAAATTATAGCATAGGTTGTTTTTTCCGGTGACACTTTAATAATCATCAGTTGTAGATAGTTTAAGAGAGCAATATGCATATAGTTTTGTTTATATCCGTGAAATTTCTGGCATGTGGTGGGACTACTAAACGGACCACGTGTATGTTAGATTTGTGATATGACTCTGTTATATAAAAAATAAATTTATGGTATCGATATTTGCTAATTTTTCAAGATTTCTTGGTTAGGCTCTTAGAGAACATGGAGCTCAATGACTTGAAACATGGCTCACAGCAGAGACTAATGGCGAGTCCCCTGTAGTTTCTCAATACACTCTTTGTAAATTTTAGGTGAACTCCCCTATCTGAAATAAAATTATCTTGGTTGAATTGTTTGCTTCACTTGTACATTTTGGTAATCAATCTTTTCATTTGTTGATATGTGACGTTTCTTTGTTCTATTTCATCATAATATTTACATTCAGCTTTGTGAATGTAATTCTATTTTTGACATGTTTCTCCTGATGATCGGGGTTTAGACAAGGCTAGAGTAAAATATTCGCCATTAATGCCATGTATAATCGTTGCACTAAATTGCAAATTGTTTGAAGTGGAAATGTGCATCAATCGACGCCTGCCCAGTAGTTCTAAGGGTTAAGTGTTCATTGCGAGATCTGAAGATCGTGAGTTTGATGACTGTTGAGGTCACGGCTACTCATTGACAAGAAGCCTTTTATAGCCCATTGATCTCATTCCAATGTTGATAGACGTATGAATATTCTATGAACATAAATCTTTCATTTAACTTCGTATATTACCCAGGCTAATCATATTTGTTTGACGGCAGTAATAAGAAGCCAAATACAGATTGGATTGGATGAATTTATTTCATACACTCGTTTATCCAGACGGACATTCAGAATAGGTGGCGATAAAGAGAAGCGGAGCGGCGAAGGCCAGTGAGCCAACTTGTTTTGATAAAGCGTGACTTAATATTTATAGCCAGACAAAAGTAATACGAAGAGTACGGTAAGTAATTCATACACATGCACTCATAAAAAAACAGTCAAAGTTAGTAAGTAAATAATTAACAACATCAAAATTTAATTCAAGAAGAACGAATAAACTGGTCTATACGGAAGCTAGAATAACTCATATGAACTTGATATATTACTAGACACTACAAGTCCATTCCGAGGAAAAAGCAGCGCTCCATCGCTTTTTCATTTTCAGATGTACCTTATCTGAGAGCAATCTGTGGTGAATATTTTCTACATAAATAAACGAGGTTAGGTATAATTTAATAAAACTGTAGACTTTCATTTGATTAATAAGTAAAGCATGTTGTGGAGTAGACTTTAGTATTTAAGATTAGTATGGTAATAACAACGGTCTGTAAATTCATTAGTTGATTTTTAAAAATATATGAAGTATATGTCACTTTGCTGGCATTTGGAGATTTTATGAATCGATTCTTGTCAATGCACTATATTCTAATTTGAAGTCCATTACAACTGAAGCAAATTTTCAGTATACGGTTGTGGAGATTGTTGGATTTCATTGAAATGATGATCTGATTTAAGTCAGACCATTATTGAAAACGTGGAAGCATTGGACGGCTATTCCATCCCAATGTGGAACTGCTCAGCAGTACGCATCTACGATCCTGCGCGCAGGACTGCGAGCAAAAGTAATATCATTGTAGAATATTATTTGTTATTCACTCAAGGGTTCATACTTTCTTGTCTGTATTATGTATTTACAATGGATCATTCTTTGTTGGTATGTGTAAATCCTGAGCGGATTGGCCTAATACATCCATTTTTTACTGAATTTGTATAGTGACACATGTTTCATTCTTTTTCACACAACCTAGTGACTGTCTAGACCCTATAACTCAATGAATACCACGAGCGTTTGAAACGTAAATTACTGAGTTGGAATAACAATGTAAGGATCTATACTGAGTACTTTACGGATGGATTCGGCTGATGAGTTCTAAAGAGAGCGAAATTCACATCACGAATTCAATTACTAACCATAGTCCAACATTAATGTCTAGATGTTTTTGTTTACAGACAAAATGAATCTACATCATATTAATAATTATTAAATATATTTAAAGATAATACAGTACTGATTCATCTCCTTTTTATTTTATTCGGTAGAAGGTGAAACAATGTCAGCAAATGAATTAAATCGATTACGTGATTTATTATTAGATATAGATCAACAATTAACTCGTGGCTTAAATCAATGTATACATGGTCGTTTATTGCATTTAACATGGGCAATAATTATAACATTTTTATTAGTTATCTTAATATTAATATATCCAACTGATAGGTTTACATCAATTATAAAATGTTTATTTGAAATAATACTTGGTATTATATTATTTACATTAATATGGGGTTCATTAATTGGTAGAACTATAGAAAAATCCGGTTTAAAAAATGCAAGACATTCAATTTTAACATTATCTTCAAGATTAGATAATTCAAATGACTTTACATTAATTAAATAATAATTTACACCCTTTCGTTTTTTGTGTTCTTTCCTTATATATATATTTTTCCCTCCTGTGCTTGTTTTCTCTTTTTTTTTCTCTAAAATGAATTTGAATAGAATGTGTTTAGACAAAGAAATGTATACCATCGAATTATTATTTCTTTCTACTTAATCAACTCATTGTGTGATTGTAATGATGATGTTAAGATTGATTTCTCTCTGTCTTTTTCTTTCTCACACACACATACACGATTTTCTTGTTCATTCTCTTTTAATTACAAACAATTTACGGAAATAATAAACTGTCATCGTATATCTCATATACCAATTACTCATAATTGCTATATTTAACGATGGTAAAATTATTGTATTTGACACTGTTTGTGTATTTTAATTTTCTTTTTAAATATTTAACATGTAGGTGTATGTTCAGTATACCTATATAGACATATACATTATTTGAATGAATATTATCATCGTTGTAACTTTCATTTGTCTCTTGTTTTTATATTGTACATGTATACAGAATTATGTTTAATTTGAGAAAAAAAATATTTACTCATTTATTAATCAACTACTCAATATCTCCATGTGTTTCTTTTTATTTCATAAAAATAAATGTAGTTATAATTTATTTCATGAAAATAATAAGTAAATTATGATTAATTTAATCGAATAAAAATTTTTTTTTGATTTTTTTATTCCCCCCTCCCGCCTCTTAGATGGTTAACAATAAGAGTAATTAATTATATTTGACCTATTGTTATTATTTTCAAAATGAACGAATAATGAAATAATCTTTGTAAGGAAGAAATACAAAAATTTATTATTATTTTTTAATCACCCAATTTATCAGTGATCGATTAAGTAAACAGTAAACGGTTTAAGATTTAGTATATATAATATGTCGTTATATCATTAGAACGTATTTTGAACCATGTTACGTAACATTTTCAAACAAAATTTGTAATACTTTGTATAAAGTAAGTTGGAAACTTTGCAACTATTTGTATGGTTCAGAGTAACAAGTTAGTTATTTATATTGATTGATACTGTGATTTGACTGTCTCGAGAATTATGAAATCTAAACATTTCATTGTTTTATGAGTCTGATACTTTAATTTTAAGAATATTCACTTGACGGTTATATATATTTTGTTATGTGTAATTTCTTTATTTTGCCTGGTTTTTCTGATAAGAATATCTCCACTAATTCTCATATCATGATATAACTAGGTGGGAATTTTAAGTCGCATAATACTTTTATCCTAGATGTCAAGTTGTTTCTGCTTATGTCCCTATACACAAACGTAGTTGTATCAATCAAACCAACAGATAATACGTATCTTCTACAGACCAAGAGGTTTTTTAATTAGAGTAGATAATTGAACCAGGGGATATAAATAATAAGGAAAATAAATCATTCATTATCGCTAAATTTAAAATAATAAAAGCAACTGAGAACAGTCCAATACTATAAGCAGAAAATTTCTCAGTTACAAGACGAATTGATAAATGGAGAGAGAAAGCTAGTGGAAATTGATGTAAACTTGAAAATATGTCAAAAATCATGCAAGGTTGCCTTTTTAAAGATGTCTAGTAATTCGTAGATGTATAACGTAAAATCAGTTACATTGCTTTAAAATAAAGGCTCGTGGCTTCTAGAATGTTTACCATAAGGAAACAGGGAATCAATATTTCAACTGTTTGACGCCCTTGGTTAGCTAAATCATTGGGTTTCTGTTCGACTTAGATCAACGATGCGTATTAAATAGGTTTCTTAAATTAGTTAACCGTTGAAAAATTTCATGTCTGGTGTGCCGTTCCAAAGGAGTCTCTACCGGTGGATGTCATCCCCAAACAATGCAGTTAAAATAAGGTGACTACTAGTCTTTGACATTTGTATCCTGTAAAAATTTTTATTATCTCCTTATAATTATGTTGCGCATAACGTTTTACTCTTTTTTTCCTCATTGAATATACATAAAACTAAAACTAATTTTATTTATTGAAGAATAATCTTTCAAGCCTATAACATTGCAATCTCAACGACCTTACTTGGTTGATCTGATTTGAAAACTAGTTAGCGAAATTAGAATTTTAGATTAATCGTAGATTTGTTTTTCTACTCACTGATTATTCAAATCAAACTAATATACCATTTGACAAAAATTATTATATTAAATGCAATTCATTTTCTGCATCAATTTACTTATAAATTTAAACAAAACTAACGAGTAAAACATTGAGTAGTCTAGAACCATATGATTTTGTTTTGTTTAATGAAACTAATCATATGAACACCATTAACAACAAAAAAACTTAATTGTTTGTTCATTTATAAAACATAAACAAAATGAAAAATAGTTAATGAATCCCATTTTCTTTATGACAATACATTAATCTTGTTTGACAAATAATTACATAAAGCTCTTTTTAAAATTCAACAATAAAGTTTCATCTAATTTGTTGTCAATGATCATGTATATATATATATATATATATATATATATATATATATATATATATAACTGAAGAAACTTCAAGGTCATTGAAAAATTAACCGTTTGAAACAAATTTCGTAATTTAATTAACAAATTTAATAAATAAATAAACAAATAATACATTTAGAAAGACAGAAATGATAACATTTAAAAAAAATACTGATTGTGTATAATTGATTTGTAACAAGTAAACTCAAATAAATTAAAATATTGTTACCAAAGAATACATTATGTCGGGAAATAGAATCAGATATAAAAAATAAAGAGTAACAATTGAAAAGAGCTGGAAAAGATTGCCTAGGACAAGATTTGTTGAAGAGTGCTGATAGGTGAATCATGCTCCTTCATAAGGAGTAACAGGCGTCAGTAAGTATGCATTTTTTCAATATTATAAAACGTATTTGATCTTTACTTTTTTTAAAAAGTATGCATTAGAAAAACAATGTAAAATGAATACATGTAATATCAAAATATTAAAGATTAAAACATAAAACAGGATATATAAACAAATGAAACTAAAAATTAATTTTTCAATAATATTTCAATATTTAATTCAATTCATCGTTTCATTATCATTTTGTTTAACATAATACAGTGAAATTATTTGTTATACCAGAAAAGTGTTTTTTTCGACCAAATATATTTTTAGATGTACCATAATGTTTTATTCTATAAGTACCAGAAATACATATACCATCGATGGAACTAATTGTCCATTGTATAATAGCATAACTTCGACCAAGTAACCATGATAAAAATCCATCTCGATTCCAAATAAATCTGAAAATAATAATATTTTAGAAATAAAAAAATTTTTGATAAATTTATTAAGATATAAGTCAGTGGTTGAATAGAACTTAAAATAAATAGTAGTGTATTAAAACTATAATATTAAAATAGCTTCTTGAATGGAAATAACATGAGCTTAAGATATTTAGTCATTTATCGGAGAGCACAAGTGGGGAGGACAATTGAATTTAGTTGACATGAAATTATAGAGCATCTCAATCAAATTTGAGAACCATACAGTAAATAGTTAATTTGCAAAATATCAATCCATCGTCTAAGAATTGACTGTTCCTTCTGCAAATATCAGTCTCAGATTTCATTGTTCATGTATTTTCATGCCAATTGCGTTCCGTTCCCGTTCTTTCCATCTCGATCTTCTACTGAAATGCATTCTATGCCTGAGACCGTTACATACCACTTGTGTGGATATAAGTATCCCACACCACACTATTATTATTATTATCAATTTTTGTTAAAAAAAGAAAAAAATTCAATGAGGCAGTTAATTATATTTTATCATATGAATTATTAAAATTTTTCGATAGCTTCATATTCGAAAAATAAATAAATCAGAAGGGGTTTTGTGGAGATTTCAGTAATTTCAATTGATGAGATCATGAGTCAATTGAAACTAGACCACCATAGAAAACGTGGATACACTGGACGATCGTTTCGTCCTACTGTGGAACTCCTTAGCAGCGCGCATCCACCACCCCAGGACCTATCAGTCTCGCACGCGAGCACTTAACTACTAGATCCAACTGTGTTAATGTCTAACTTCAACTAATCCACGAAATTGAGTGACACGTTCACCATTGTCATCAGTAAGTTACTATCTCATAACTGACCCAGTTGAACTCCACTGGTCACGGGTCATGGATGTGCATTGTTGAGTCCCACGATAGGACAAAACGGTCGTCCAGTGCTTCCAGATTCTCCATGGTGGTCTAGCTTCAATTGACTCATGATCTCAACAATTGAATTAAATAAATAATATAAGAAAGTAATACATGAAAATGGGAGATAAATATTGTACTGAATTTATTTCCTTTATTGAATTACAGTTATCTCTTAAATCTGACCTATAAATTCAATATTCCAATGTTAATAGATAATATAAAATAATGTAAAATATTGTGATACAAAGCAATACATCAATTTGAAATACTCAATTATATTGTATGAATAATGCGATTGATATAAAACATTTAATTTACTTATTGTATGTGTTATATTTTTTATTCTGTTGAAAGATCGATAAGAATAACTTTTGTTTTACCAAGATTTATTTCAATTGTTTGTCTGTTTTTTTTATATTGGCGTTTAAGCAGATTAAATGAATGTTACTGCTGAGTATATTATGATATGAAGTCATGCAATCATCAAATATTACTATTAACCACGTTGATGATTTAGGTGTACATTCTATAATACTAATTATTGGTTGAATATCCTTGAATACTTTTAGATAGAGGCTAGAAGTGGAATTCAGGACGCACGTTTCGTCATACTCAGAACTCGTCAGTTGGGTGTATCTGAGTCTCAGAGTTGATGTTTACTCTGGGACTCTAAACCAATACCGCTCGCTTCAAACATCATCACATCACTCACTTAGCTACTGAGTCCTTATAATCACCAGCTTGTGCAATGGGGTGAACTTTTAAAATCACTTGGTGTTGCTTACTTGTATCTTCTCACCAAGTGAATTTAAAATTTGACCCCA